TCCATATTCCTGGTTTGCCTTCTTAGTTCATAAGCAGTAAGATTCCCGATCAGTTCATCCAGCCTGAGAGGGGCCATATTCTTGGACTTCTGAATGGTAGTGATTTTGCTTTCCCAAGCAACTGGAAGAACTCTTGTCAAGATCTTCTCAACCTTGTCTTCTTCAAGAATAACTCTTCCAAGAGACTTAGTTCATTTGTTAGTGTAGTGAACCTTGTGTACATCTCTTGAATGGTTTCTCCATCTTTCATAGTGAAATTCTCATATTGAGAATATAGCAATGTTCCTCTGGATCTCTTCACTTGAGGTGTTCCTTCATGAGCCACTTGCAAAGTGTCCCATATCTCTTTTGCAGTAGTACAACTTTGGATCCTGCTGTATTCATCTGGACCCAGTCCACACACAAGCCATTTCTTGGCCTTAGCATTTTTCTCCCATTTTTTCAAATCTTCAGCAGTACAATGAGCCCTTGTCTTTGGCACTTCCACTCCTTCCTCATTTTTTATTGTAGTTGCCAAAGGACCATCGGTGACTATGTCCCAAAGTTCATAGTCTTCTCCTATGATGTGATCCTTCATCCTATTCTTCCACCATGAGTAATACTGTCCATTGAATAGTGGAGGCCTGGCAGTGGATTGCCCTTCCAAGTTCCCAGGTGGTGCACTCATGTTGATCATTTCCTAAGGTGTTAGCCTCTTCAAGGATAACCCGCTCTGATACCAATTTATTTTCCAAACGTCAATACCACACAAGAGGGGGGGGGGGTGATTTGTGTGGTACCCAATTTTCGATCTAGAAGAACCTGGTTCTTCTAGGTGTTCTAACTACTACTGTTTGCGGAATTAAAATATAAAAAATAAAAGAACACAAGGATTTTTACGTGGAAAACACCTGGCTCAAAAGGTGAAAAAACCACGACCTACTACTTAGTAGGATTTTCCCAAACATCCACTAAACTCAATGATCCAAAAACAACATTTACAAAACTCTTGTAAACCTAAGGATTAACTCTAATCCCAGTGTGGCACACAGCCTCAACTGTTGCGACACTTTCAAGTTAACTCTAACTTGAATACTCAAAGTACCTAATACAATTGCTTCTATGAAAGCTGGAAAGGTACAAGTTTTAAATCACCTACTACAATTGAACTAGAATAAGAATAAACACAATGGAACTGGTTCTTCTATCTTGTTCAAGTAGCTGCAGGCGTGCACACTCAATCTCACATAAATTTCTTGCAAAATAGCCTTGCTCTTTTGCTCTCAATTTTGCTTAACTTCAGCGTATGTGCATACCTGTAAAAGAGAACAACTCAGTTATTTATTAGATTAGTAATTAGAGTTGGGTTGTAACTCAATTTCTGATCCTCCATTGAGTTTGAGTCCTAGACCGATCCAAACTCCAACCCTTATCCGGATGTGTTCTCTTCTTATAAGGAGACATCTTCTCCTTATCCCATATGCAATCTTTTCGATCAGGTCAGAAGATATTCAGAAGATACTGCTGCTTGATCCCCAAGGACTTATCTTCTTCACGTGCATCTCATGTGCATGGGCCATAACAAATGTGTCTCCTAAGATGGACCTGGTCCTTCACTGAGTTTATTTGTCATTCTTCAAAACTTCAACTGATCTTGGGCCGACACCCTAATTCCCTCTATAAAAGATCCTCTTGCCAATAATTAGGGCACAGAAAAAAGAGTAAAAAAAGGGCAAACGGCTGAAAACAAACTTTCCAAAAGTATTCTTAAGAAATTTTGAGCTTTCTTTTGTTTTGGGGTTCTTCTTTGTTGGGTTTCAGAAGCTGGAACAAAATTTTGGGTTTATTCATTGCTGGTTTTGCTGAACTGAGCTAGGAACTGCAGATTTTCTTGCTTCTTTAGGCTGTTTTTTCCTTTTGCTAGATATTTTTCTGAACTTTTGTATGTTCTGCTGAGTTATCTTGAATGAAATGTGGTTTTCCTTAAACATTTGAGCCTAATCTAATAAATCTGATATCCTAGTTATGCAAACTACTTGGATTTCCTTCTCTGAAATCTATTTCATGTGTGTATGATACCTGAGTTGAAGGTCCTATTTGTTGTCATTCACATAATTGGTTCATTGTTGGAAGTTTTGTTTTGTTTGGATGCTAATTCTATATCAGAAATAATGCTAAAAAATGATAAATTTGAACCCCTTTTCCCTTTCCCCTTACAATGCATTTAATTTGTTTTTAGTTTTGTGTTCTGTTCATTTGTTTTGTCAATTTGTGTAATGGTTGGAGTATTAAGACAATGGAAACGGTTTATTGATATCCAGTAGTTGAGGTAACATGCAATTTAAATGTCATGATGTCTTTTTTCTTTTCTTTTCTTTCTTTCAGAAACTTTGCTATTCTTATTTATGAGTAGCATCAGTCATAAAATGTCTTTTTGGTTTTAAGGTTGAGTTTTTTTTTGTTTAGATCACACAGACTTGGCAGTAATCTAACAGGAGCTCTACTATAGTGGTCTGTATATGAAATATGTAGATTTGTTTTAATTTGAAGAGTTGAAAGTTGTTTGCTATTGATTACCTGGCTGTAGTTTGCAGATCTGACCACTAGTTGGTTAGATTGGTGAGCTCTAAAGCTAAGGAAGGGATTTAAAGTCGTTGTGAAAGGAGTTTGAAGCTGAAGATCTAATCAGATTATGCGTTTAGTTTAGTTTGTTATTGTAAATGATTTTCGTATACATTAGAAAGCATTTATTATTAAGAGTTGTGATTGAAATGGCCAGAACTTTAAATGCCAGATTCTAAATAGTCTTCTTTTGAAGTTTTAAATGCCAATGATTTTCTTTTCTGTGTATTTGTTATGTTGGATAATTACCACAAAATTGACTATTTGTATAAGGAATTTGAGTCAACTTATTGTATTGGGCTTAGTCGAAGTTAGTCATCAGCCCAGTAAAGAATTTAGCGAATTATTTGAGGACCTGATACTTTCATAAACGAGACTATATACCTGGCCCATATCCTTGTAGATAAAATTCATGATTTCTTTTCTAACTCAGTTCGCACATTTTGGGTTCAAAATTGATTGTATTTAGTTCTTGATTTCTAATTTATCAATCTAATTATGACCATTTGTGGTGCTTCTCTTAGTGTTAAAAAATGTGTCCACCCATTATTAATTTCGCAATTTGAACCCTCGCATGTAATCTTGTACTTTTAGTAGTATTTGCGTCCTGCGAACATGTTAGTCTGCTTTAGGCGTAAACTTGGCAAATCTCATTTTTTTTTAGCTAATGAATTACTAATAATTGAGTACAATCTTTTAAAATAAATTGAGGTGTGCCATCTATAATTGAACTCCATAATTCATGGCCCTCACATTAGTACCAACTAGTGTAGAAACACTTTGAATATTCCGTAGTTTTCTTTAGGCTCGTAATTAAAATCGTCACAACTACGGGTACGGTTCCCGAGGCGTAGTTGTGATACCTAAGTTCAAATTAGTTTTGAATATGAACATCCGTAGTCCGCTTTAGTTGAGTACAAATCTTTTAAAATAAATTGAGGTGTGCCATACACAAACAAAATCCATAACCTATGGCCCTCACATTAATATTGACTTAGTATAGAAAATATTTTTATACATTCGTAGTTTGCTTTAGGCACGTTTATAAAAAAATCATCATAGCTACGGGTATGGTTACCGTGACGTAGTTGTGATACCTAATTTTCAAATTCGAGGGTACATTTATGTGGCCCGGCCATAACTTCTAATAATATTCATAAATTAAACATGTTGTAGATCGTGGGTACGGTTCTCGTGTCACGGTTCACAATGTGTATTAAACACACAAGTGTACGACAATCATAACTTGTTCAAGAAATAATTCCATAAAACAATTAAAAGCGGTTATAAAGTTAAAAATGCATAATAGGTTCAAAATGTCTAGTAAATCAGATAATAGGCCAATTATTAATAGTTTAAGCGACCGTGCTAGAACACAGAATCGGGAATACCTAACACCTTCTCCCGGGTTAACAGAATTCCTTACTTAAAATTTCTGGTTTGCAGACTTTTAAAATAAAGTCGAAATTTCCTCGAGTTGGGATTTTAAAATAAACCGGTGACGTAGGACACCAAATAAACTATTCCAAGTGGCGACTTAGATAAATAAAATAAAATAATCCCATTTCGATTAATGTCACTTAATATTTATAATATTTTTATAATATTTATTCTTTTCTTATTTATTTCATATTCCTGGATCAAATTAAGTCACGTGTGTATAAACAACGCTACAAATTGAACTGTATCATTTTACGGTAAAGAATTTGGCGCCTGTCGTGGGGCATAGACAATTGTAAGTTACTTAGATTCATTCTTTTCTTACTAACGTAGTTTGAATCTTTTCTTTAGTAAAAGAAAAACCAGAAATGGCAGCCAACGATGTAAACAATGCTAACAATGTTGGAAAACACAACGAGCATGAGGATATGTTCCAGCAGGAAGATTTAACTAGTGAAACTCGCAACGAAGGAGATGAGACAACTCCGGTTTGCAAATAACAAAATTCTCGGCATGTGAGAAGTCCAACTCCTGATGATGCAGATGATTAACATGATGTTGAGACAATCAAAATTTTAAGGGAGCAACAAAGAGAAATTATGAAGCATCTCAAGACAAGATTGAGTAATGACGAAGTTGAAGCAGGAACTTTCAATTGCTTCCAATAACCCCAATGGGGGAATTAGAGTTCCTCCCAACATGCATGGAAATCAAGCATAGCAAAGAACCGATAACGTTGATCGAAGGGACAGATTCAGTTTCAATGAAGATGAAGTAGGTGGTGCCGGTAGTGGATTTGGGAATCACAACAACGCTAATGATCCTTTCAAAATCGAGCTCATGAGATCCATGAGGAAAATGAATGAACGAATGAACCAAAATGCTAAAGAATTTCATGCTCGAATGGATTAGATCCCGGGAGCACCACCAGTGTTGAAGGGCTGGATTCAAAGAAATATATGCAGTTTCCGTTCAAACCCAGTGCGACCCCGGAGTTGATCCCAAAAAAATTTAGGATGCCAGATATCCCGAAGTGTGATGGAACTTCGGATCCACAAAAGCATATCACAACTTATACCACGGATGTAAAGGGAAATAACTTTGCCCCGCACGAGATCGAATCTGTCTTGTTGATAAAATTTGGTGAGACCATAATGAAGGGTGCTTTAACTTGGTATTTTCTTTTATTAAGCATTCTATTGATTTTTTGAAATGCTTGCAGATTCTTTGATTAAGTCTTATGCCGGGGCAAGAAAAGTCCAAGTTAGAAAGGCAGATATATTTAGAATCGCTCAAAGAGAATCTGAACTATTGCGAGAACTCATGATCCGATTTCAGAAGGAAAGGATGTTGTTGCCAGCAGTACTAGATGAGTGGACAACCGAAGCATTTACCAAGGGTCTCAATCCACTAAGTTCTAATGCCTCCAGGAAACTAAAGGAAATTCTGTTGGAATTTCAAGCAACCTCATGGGCAGACGTCTACGACCGCTATGAGTCAAAAATTAGAATTGAAGATGATTAATTGAGTACTTTGGTGTCATCCAAAGGTCATAATCGTGAGAGGAATAAGGAGAAGTTCAAAACTAATTTCGATTCAGATTGGAGGTCTTCCAGGAGTTGCTTTCAGCCTTACGAAAAGGATGATGGGTGTGGAAATAATGGGTTCCAGTCATCAGACAGGTTTGCTTACGATAGAAGGTCAGATCGTGGCCGGAGTAGCAAAGCTTTGCAGGAGAAAGAACCATCAGGATCTCGAGATTCAACTTACCCCCGATTGTCCGACTACAACTTTAACATCAGCTTACTAGAATTTATGTCGGCTATGAGAAACATTAAGGAGGCCAGGTTCCCAAAACCAGATCGATCGGGACCTAGTCAAAGGGATCCTAATTTATGGTGTGAGTTCCATGAAACGCATGGTCACAAGACTGGGAACTGCCAGCATCTTCGTGAAGAGGTGGCAACTATATTGATGAATGATCACCTTAAAGAATTTCTGAGTGATTGGGCCATAAGTAATTATGGGAAAAATCGATACGCTGGGGAGCCAGCCAAACTGGCTGCAAGGTCACCTCGTTTGACCATAAACATGTTCTTTGGTGGGGACGAAGTAAATGGGGTGACATTTTTAGTAGCAAAGAAGACAAAGATATCGTTAACTCATTGGCAAGAAGATCTGAGAAGCCTTAGAAGATGATGAAATCACCTTCACAAATGAGGATGTTGATGGCCTTCTTCTACCGCACAATGATGCTTTGGTAATATCGCTTAATGTCTTAGATTTTTAAATTAAACTGTAACGACCCAGCCGGTCGTTTTTGGAATTTTTGCCCCGATCCCCTATTGACTGCTTCCCCTAAGTCCATTTCTGCTATTTTGGTTTGCCGGGATGTTCGGTGTTGGGTTTTCGGAGAGTTTTGGGACACATAGTCCCTAAAGGAGAGCTTAAGTGTTGGAAAATGGTCCATAGTCAGAACAGTGTGAAGACGGCCTCGGAACGGAAATCTGATGGTCCCGTTAGCTCCGTTAGGTGATTTTGGGGCTAGGAGCGTGTTCGGAATGTACTTTGGAGGTCCGTAGCTAATTTAGGCTTGAAATGCCGAAGTTTGAATTTTGAAGTTTGCGGTTTGATAGTGAGATTTTGATCCGAGGGTCAGAATGGAATTCCGGAAGTTGCAGTAGCTCTGTCATGTCATTTGGGATGTGTGTGTAAAATTTCAGGTCATTCGGACGTGGTTTGGTTAGGGTTTTTATTGAAAGCGTGTTTTGAGAGAAAATGAAGTTCTTAGGCTTAAATCAGTGATTAATTCGAGTTCCTATGTTGTTTTAGGTGTTTTAAGGATTGGTACAAGTTTGAATGGGGTATTAGGTGATGTTGGTGCTTTTGGTTGAGGTCCCGGGGGCCTCGGGGTGATTTCGGATGGTTGACGGGAAGATCGGAGAAGTGTTGCAGCAGCTGAAGCATTGCTGCTTCTGGTATTTTCGCATCTGCGGCTTGGGAACCGCAGATGCGGCATGGAAGACCGCAGAGCGGGGTTGCCATCAATCTATAGTTAATTTTATCATTTAAATTCGGATTGCGGATCAAAAATTGGGAATAATTGGAAGAAACTTCTTAGACCGAATTATTGAGTTTTGAGTGGGTGTATGACCTCCGATTTGGGAGATTTTTATATGCTTAGACTCGTGAGAGTACGAGGGTTCTGAAAATGTTAAAAATATCCGGTTCCGTGACGTTGGCCTGAGGGGCGTTTTGGTCATTTTACCTAAATTCGCGTCTTAGCTTTAAATTAAATAGTAGAACCAGTTGCTTGTGATGTTATTTACGATGTGTAACTGAATTGAATAGATTTGGACCACTTGGAGTCGGATACTCGTGGCAAAAGTGTGGTTTCGAGTTGATTTTGGAGCCGGTTTGAGGTAAGTGGCTTGTCTAACCTTGTGTGGGGGACCTTTCCCCTTAGGATATAATATTTGGTATTGAATGCCTGGTACGTGAGGTGACGAGGGCGTACTTGAGCTAATTGTTGAAAAATCCGATTTTACTTTAAATATTTAGACTGAGTTTCTTTCGTATCTGCTTTATCTTATTTGCAATTATAGATGATGTTAGCTAGAAAAGCATGCTTAGTTGTTCTAAATTGTCTATTTGTTCAAGTTGCCTTGTTTGCACTACGTGAAGCATGTTAGGCTAGAACTACCTGTTGCCTTGTATTTTTTTTAGCTTTATTTCTGAATATTCTTCGTGTTGTGACTGCGCATTTACAATGGGACTACGGATGTGGGATTCCGGTAGCCCCCCCCTGTTTGTTTACTTTGGGACTACGGGTTAGATTCCCGGTAGATACCCCTGCACATTTACTTGGGACTACGGGTTAGATTCCCGGTAGATCCCCCTGCACGGTTATATGGAACTATGGGAATGCACTCGGTAGATTCGCCCAGTACTGGGTATTTATATTTGGGGACTACGGATCGGAATTCCGGTAGATCCCCCGCGCATTGATAGTTGGACTACGGGACGGGATCCCGGGAGATCTATCGGACATATATATGATGGACTACGGGACGGTATCCCGGGAGATCCATTGGATAGTTGTAATTGGGACCACAGGCCGGTATCCTGGAAGGTGCCCCGGTTGTTACCTCTGTGTTGAGCTGTATTTCTTTCCGTGGTTTGTTGTCCCTGTTCTAGTTGTTGTTGTTCATTTAATCCTATGTTATTTCTTATTGGTGCACTTATTTATACTGTTTCTATTTCACATTGTTAACCCTTACATTTTATTTAACCTCAGTAGGGCCCTGACCTTCCTCGTCACTACTCTTGCCCCTTCTGCGCATGTTTTTCATGTGCAGATCCAGGTACTTCATCCCAGGCGTATCACTCTCGAGGCAGAGAGATCTAGCAGAGACTTTGAGGTACATCTGCCGCGTCTGCAGACCAGGAATCTCTATCTTATTCTAGGTTTAGCAGTTAGCTTTTCCTTTCGCACTTTTGCTTTAGACATTCTAGAGTTAGAGCCATGTATTACTTTCCGTTAGCTTGTGTTCCCGTGAGTTTCCGAGTTTTCGGATGATATTGTAGACTTCCGCATTATTGGGTTGTACATGCCGAGAGGCATTTATTTTCAGTTACCCTTCTAGTTTGTTTAGTTTAATTACTTGTTTCCGCACTTTATGCTATTTCCGCATGTTAGGCTTACCTAGTCGTAGGGACTAGGTGCCATCACGACATGTTCACGGAGGGCGAACTGGGGTCGTGACAAGTTGGTATCAGAGCTCTAGGTTCGTAGGAGTCACGGGACATAAGCCGGTTTATTAGAGTCTCGCTGATCGGTACGGAGACGTCTGTACTTATCTACGAGAGGCTATGTAACTGTTAGGAAAATTTCCACTTCATTTGACTTCCCTGTCGTGCGAGATTTTTGACATCACAATCCTAAACTTTTGCCTTCTATTCTCTCATAGATGGTGCAGACACGTGCTACTCGAGATGGCCAGGCACCCGCACCCCCTATTGGAGCCGTCAGAGGCCGAGGCCGAGGACGCGCTCGTATTGCAGCCAGAGCACCCGCGCAAGCTGCCGCCGAGGTACCACCAGCAGTACCAGCCAGAGTCCAGACACCGGATATGTCTGCCACTACTACTCCAGCACTCCAGGAGACTTTGGCACAGTTTATGAGCATGTACACCACTTTGGCTCTGGCAGGGTTGCTTCCCCTTGCTGCAGCCACATCCCAGGCCGGGGGAGGAACGCAGACTCCCACCGCCCGCACTCCTGAGCAGCGAGTGCATGTTGATCAGGTCCCAAGGGTTATTCCTGCGCCGCCTGCAGTACAAGTTCAGCTCGAGGACAGGGCAGCCGCTTCAGAGGATGAGCAGCGGAGACTTGAGAGGTTCAAGAAATATGATCCTCCTGTATTCAGTGGGTTAGCATCAGAGGATACCTTGGGACTTTTGGAGGAGTGCTACCGTATTCTCCGCACTATGGGCATATCAGGATCGAGCGGGGTTTCTTTCACTACTTTCCAGCTTCGAGGAGCCGCCTATCAGTGGTGGCGTGCCTACGAGTTAGACAGTCCGGATGGGGCAGCTCCCCTAACTTGGACTCAGTTTTCAAATATGTTCCTGAGAGAGTATGTTCCTCAGAGCCTCAGGGATGCATGATGCGCAGAGTTTGAGCATTTGCGCTAGGGTACTATGACTGTCTCAGAGTATGCTGTCCGTTTCACCAGCTTGGCTAGACATGCACCAGCCTTGGTTTCTACTGTTCGCGAGAGGGTTCGCCAGTTTATTGAGGGGCTTATTCCTAGCATCAGGTCTAGCATGGCTCGCGAGTTGGAGATTAATATTCATTATCGGCAGGTGGTGAGCATTGCTAGGAGGATTGAGGGTATGCATGCTAGGGACAGAGAGGAGAGGGAGGCCAAGAGGTCTCGAGAGTCGGGCCATTATTCTAGTGCCCGTTCCCCAGCTGCAGGTCGTCATGGAAGGGGTGATATGGGTCGTCCCGTTCATTCAGATCTTCCAGTAGCCAGTGGTATTCCAGCTCCACCTAGGCCTCAGGAGCCTTATTACGCACCTCCAGTCTCTAGTGCGCCTCCTGTACGGGGTGCTTCCAGTGGTCAGTCCAGCAGACCTGGCCCGAGCCAGTCACAGCCGCCACGTCCCCCCAGAGCTTGTTTTGAGTGTGGTGACACACCCCATATGGTGAGAGATTGCCCCAGACTTAGGAGGGGTGCACCTTCGCAGGCTCCTCAGCCACAACGTGCCCCGCGGAGTTCTCAGGCCATGGTTACAGCCCCAGTTACTACCCCACCTACTCGTACCGAGGCTGTTGCCTCCGATTCTGTCATCACAGGTATTGTAATGGTTTGTTATAGAGGTGTACTGATTCTATTCGATCTAGGCTCCGCTTATTCTTATGTGTCTTCTTATTTTGCTCCGCATTTGTGTGTACCTCGGAATTTCCTTGAGTTTCCCTGTTTATATTTCTACTCCTGTGGGAGAATCTCTTGTTGTGGACCGCGTTTATCGGTCATGTTTGGTTACTATTCGTGGTTTTGAGACCAGAGCGGATTTATTGTTACTCAGCACGGTTGATTTTGATATTATCTTGGGCATGGACTGGTTGTCGCCCCATTATGCTATTCATGATTGTCACGCCAAGACCGTGACGCTGGCTGTGCCAGGTGTACCGCGTGTTGAGTGGAGTGGTACTTAAGATCACACTCCCAGTAGAGTTATCTCTTTCCTCAAAGCTCAGCGTATGGTTGAAAAGGGGTGTGCCGCGTATTTAGCTTATGTGAGAGATGTCAGTGTTGATACCCTTCTGTTGATTCGGTCCCAGTGGTACGGAATTATCCCAATGTATTTCCAGTGGATCTTCCAGGCATGCCGCCTGATAGGGACATTGATTTTGGCATTGATTTGTTGCCGGCACTCAGCCCATTTCTATTCCTCCGTATCGTATGGCTCCTCCTGAGTTGAAGGAGTTGAAGGAGCAATTGCAGGAATTACTTGATAAGGGTTTTATTCGGCCCAGTGTATCGCCTTGGGGTGCTCTTGTGTTATTTGTGAAGAAGGATGGTTCTATGCGCATGTGTATTGATTACCGCCAGTTGAACAAGGTTACAGTGAAGAACCGTTATCCTTTGCCTCGTATTGATGATCTGTTTGACCAGCTTCGGGGTGCAC